GTAATTGTTATAATTATAAAATTATTATTATTACAAATTTTATTACTAATAAAACAATGAAAATGAAGTACTACTACTACTACTAATAATAATGTAATATACTAAAGTCAAGTTAAAATCAATTATAAATAATAATAATAAAGATTATTATAACAATGAAAATCTTAAGACACAATACATATAAATTATTATTATTATTAAAACTTAAAAATAATATAATTAAAAGATTACATAAATTATGCAATGACTTTTCACTGTCTTCACTGTCAATATTAATATCATTCATGTCTTTTTTCTTGTTTCATTTGTCATTTTTAAAGTATTATTTTAAATAAAAACATTCCACTAACAAAAATTAACACAGGTTTTCTTTGCCATACCTTGAATACATCTAATACATATGGTAAAAACATTCAGTTCCATAGTATTTACGTCAGATACCATCACTATACTATGTACAGGCTTGTAAGTGGCATGAAAAGTTTCCTGTGAACCAACATACTAATCATACTCAAATCTCACCAGTTACTTGTCAAACTGACTGAAATCACAGAAGAGACAAAACGAAACCCATCCGGCCACCAACAGCCAAACCACATCAAACACAAACTTTAATTCGCTGTTTGACACTGATCAAATGAGTGATAACGAACATAACTATAAAAACACAAGTTGGCAGTACACATATTACATGTATCGCCTCAAAAATTGTGTGTGTGTGTGAATATATACTTTTATATTTTCATTTATATTATATGTAAATACATTTTATTTATATATATATATATATGGATATTTCAGGAGCTGCTGAAGCAGTTTGTTTTTGGACATACAGTATGGTATTCTTTGAGGTACCTTCGAGAACCGCATAAATACCATAGTAAACAGCCACTACTGTGGCTGTACCATGGTAATATTACATATACAGTACTTAATGGTGCTTTTTACCATGGCATTTCTATGGAACTCCAAAGTACTAACATGGACACATCCAAAAAATCATGGTAGTACCATGGCACTTTTTTGTAAGTGTAAGAGTATAGCCTAATAAATCATCAGTACCATGATATGTGTATCATAAAAAAAGCAGGATGATATTACCATGCTTTTGGATATGGTACATGTACATATGGATATGGTAAATATCACATCATGATACATGATATATGAATACGGTAATCATTTAGTACCATGGTATGTGTTAAATAACAGCTATACTGTTTTTTTTAATTATGAAATATAGTGAATTATACTAAAATTCATGAACCATGGTACCTGTCCAAAAACATGGCATTACCGTGGTACTTTTTTTTGCAAGTGAACATGGCAACACAGTAATACCTCACGTACAAAACATACTAACATGTTTTTTTGGACATGATGCCATGGTATTTACCAACAAAGTACCAACTATCTGATACCATGGTACTGCCACAAAGTTCCTTGGAGAATCATTTAAATACCATAGTAATCGCTTAAAAAATTACTCATGTTTTTTTTTGGAAATGGTGCCATGGTGCTTCTTTGAAGTTTCTTTGAGTCCCATGATAATACCATGGTATTTGGACCCAGTACCATGATAATACCATGTTTTTGGACATGCAGCATGGTATTAGCATGGTGTTATTTTGAGTATATAATACATTTTTTTCTTTTGGGATTTTTTCATTTTATTCTACAACTCCATAGAAAACCATCTACTGTATATTATGGTCAGTAATTCAGTAATTGAGTTATTAGAAGAACCATTCAAACGTTCGTGGTCATTAAGAGTTATTAATGTTTTTGAAAGGAGTCTCTTCTGCTCATCAAGGCAGCATTTATCAAAAATACAGTATAAATTGTTAAATATTATTATGATTTTAAATAGCTGTTTTCTATGTGAATATCTGTTAAAATGTAATTAATCGCTGTGATCAAAGCTGAATTTTCAGCATCATTACTCCAGTCTTCAGTGTCACATGATCTTCAGAAATCATAATAATATTATGACAGAATAAAGGTATTCATTTCCTAAAAAAAACAAAAAAGGGTATGCATCACAAACACATTTGATTTGAGTTTTTAACGTTTCTGGATAATTGTCATTTAGGAGAGGCTCAATGCCCAAACAGGGAGGAAGTGCAGAGCGTTTCTCAAGGGGACGTCCCTACATAGTGTGTGTGTGCGTGTGTGATGTGGGGGAATTTGTTTATAATTTGTTTATATGTGTCTGTTTTGTAGAGCACTGTTGGTGTGCATGGGCAAGTAAAACTCACGAAGCAAGAAACTTTATAAATGTGTGCATATAAATGTGCCTGAAGACATCAAGTGACTCACGATGCTGCAAAAACAAAGATGGATGGACAAAAAGCCACACAGATACAGTCTTTGTTGTCTTATCTACTCGTCTGAATAATACAGAGTAGCAAGAGTGTGTGTAGAAATGCATAGTTTACATTTCTCCCTTACTTAACACGCTCTTGCTGTTTTTTCTCGATCCGCACTCTTTTCCGGCACTAAACCTAATCACTTCCATTGCAGCAGAGCGCAGCTGCTCTTGGTACTCTCAAACATCGCGTTGCTCAGATAAACAACAGTCTGTGAGGATGTGCATGTCTGAAATGCACTGAAAAGCAAGACTTTCATGCAGTAAAATGGACAAATATGTTTGGTTTAACAATCTCGACTAAACATTTATGCTTTTCTTTGTACACAAACTCAGTTTCCATTTTCAAAGCATGCATTTTGTGCTCAAACCACGCAAGCACACCTGTTGCAAACATCGACTTTGTTGCCTCTATTATGCTGTGTTCAAATGATGACACAGACAAAAGAGAGCAGGACAAAGGAGTGTGTATGCATCCGTATATTTATCGCAGGCCCAGACATGTAGGTTAAAAGCAGTGGTGTTAGCGCTGAGGGCTATATCAGCTAAATCACATCGGGCCTTGAATAGAGCCCTGCGGGACCCCTCGTTTTCCCAGAAGCCAGTCATTCTGTTGACTAACTACTCTGTCATTACGAAAGCTGGACGATTCATACATCACAAATACAGTAAGAAGTCACTCCTCATTTTCTCACAAGTCACATTTTGGCTGCTTTAAATATCTAAAATACAAGCCACAAAAATCGCTCTGCGACCACAGCAGTTCAACAATCAGACGGTGGTACAAAGGACTGGATGACTAGCAAGTGTTGTGATTTAAATAGATAAGATCTGCAGTATTTGACTGCACTGGCCACGTGCCACAGCAACAGGTAACGGTCTGTGCTGACGTGTGTGAGTTCTATATCAAAACACACAGGAACACACACATTTAACCAAGCATGTACACACGTAGGCACTGGCATTAAAATATCTCCGTCACGGCTCAGTGGTGAGTCTACATCAACTGTTTCCTTCTCAAACATGTGTATGTCTAGGTGAGGAGCAAATCTGTTATTTTTTAAAGCGTTATATGCATTTTACCTCGTCCACTGCGGCCAACGAAACGCAGGTCATTAAAACGAGCCACTTGATTCTTGATGGCGGCTGTGGCATTGCGGAGTTCGGCAGAGTAATTCTCATCATTGCCGGCCATCACTGTGACCAAAGTGCCATCAGGGATGTCACCGAGGGCAACCACCTGTCAACCAATGAATAAAGAAGATATGTAAGATACGTTTAAACCTTTGTCAAAACTGCATTTTAAAAACAAATCACACTCCGCCACAATGATAAAAGTAGGACGAATAATGAAAAAGACGAAAAAAAAAAAAATATATATATTAACAATATGATAAAAACCATTGATTTAATATATATTTAAGATTTCTAAAATGTTTTTTAAAGAAGTTTTTATACTCACCAACACTGCATTTATTTGCTCAATTATACAAAGTTTTTACAAAAAGAACTGTTTTCTGTGTGAATATATTGTAAAATGTAATTTATTGCTGTGATCAGAACTGAATTTTCAGCATCATTACTTCAACTACTATTTTTTTTATTTTTATGTATCTATGTGTTTATTTTTAACAATCTTACTGACCCCAAACTTTTGAACACTAGTGTGCATATACTATTATTAGACTTAACAAAAGATCTTATTTAATTACTTTATCACTAAGCAAAAACATTGGGCAGAGGGTGAAAATGAAAACCAAACAACATTCAAATCCTCTTTACAGTCCTGCGTCACGTCTACTCGTGCAATATCTCCACATCTAAACTAAATGAGCAGGTTATTTGCATATTAACTGTAAATGTCAGCACATTCTTCAGCTCTTTGTTTCAGAGCACACACATGCCTCACAGCACTACGCTCTGGTTTTGGCAAGACTGGGTGGTTCGCATTTTTACTGTCATTTGCCAAATGCGGAAGATGATGATGATGAAAGTTGTTGTGGTCACCAGTGACAACAGGAGATTAACAACAATTACTGACGCTTCCCGCCAAATCATTAGCTTAATTAAGGATGTGCATTAAAAAAGGCCAATGTCAGCTTGTAAGATTTTAAAACGTCCTCGAGCCTGAGAAAAAAAATGCATGCATAGTTCTTCATATTGCACAATATTATTAAACCATGTCATTCACAGATACCAGCGGTCTGCGGTCAGGTACCTTGAAGGCGATGGGCAGTGTCTTGTTGCAGCGCCAATGTGTTGGCAGGACGGAGCAGAGGAAGTTGGGGCTGTCGGTGCGCACCAGCTCTCCTGGGTGGTCGGAAAGCACCTCCACCATGCTCCGGTCAGCTATGCGCAGTTTGCCCATCAGGGCGGCGCCGCTGCTCTCCTGAGCCCCCAGGGGCAACCCCTCATTCATCTTCCCCGAGCTCAGGGTGGTCGAGGGAGGCGTGAAGCGTCGCCCAGGCGCAGGTTCTGAAAGGCAAACTTGCATTAGGCCTTTCACTCAACTCAACAGAAAATGTAAAAAGTTCACAATTTTGCAAAAAGTAAATCTGAGATGTTTCAAAAAATGTTGAGTTACAGGTCTAAAATGAGATTAAATAAGCAACAGTTGATGCTACTGATATGCACACATCTATATTAATGTGCAAGTGTTGCCTTGCTTGCCACTGTATTACTACGCAAAATAATTTCTAGTAAAATTAATAATTATTTATCACCAAGTGTTGCCTTGCTTGCCACTGTATTACTACGCAAAATAATTTCTAGTAAAATTAATAATTATTTATTAAATATTGGTATCTTAAATAAAACCAATAAGACATTTTTTTGCCTGTAGTAGGCCTACAGTGATTTCACTTTGAGTTGGGCCAAAAAAACACTATAGTAAAATCACTGTAATGCATGGTCACAATAAGAAAAGTGCAAAAAAAGTGTAAAACAAACCATTACTTTTGCAATTAAGTAAATCTCAGATGTTGCATTGCTCAGCACTGTATTACTAGGCAGAATAATAATTTCTAGTAAAATCATTTATTTATTAAACACTGGTGTCTTAAAAGCAATAAGACACTTTTGAACTTCTATTACAGAAATTTTACTTTGAGTTGGGCCACTAAAACACTACTTAAACATAGTAAAATCACCATAATGCATGGCTTCCCTTATTTACATCCTTTCACTCCATTGTTACTTTACTGCACAATATGTCGTCATCTGCAGCTGTGCTCAGTGTAAGCTTCTGTCTTTTAGTTTTTGGCATGCACAAAGTACAACATTTTTAAAAACACTTTTCCCAAGCAGCTTCTGGTGCCGTTACCCCGGTTGACTTCCGTGCCGGAGCCCATGCAGCAGCAGCAGTGCCTCGCAGGCGTATGAAAGCATTAAAACCGTCAGACAGAGCCGCGGCCCGCGGTCATTCGGCCAACCACAATCGATGCCACATGAGTGCGGTTACACACGTTACAGCGCTGCGCACAGAGAGCCACTGCACTCTCTCCAAACCCACCGCCCAGTATAAACAGACACAGCCGCTACATCAGGCTAAAACTGGAGTTTGATGATGGGTGTTTGGGGTGAGTGAGATGGGGTGTAGAAAACACAGATTTGCATTTGCAGACAGAATGGACAAAACAGCACACATTCCGGAAGCCATACACATACACACATAGTCCAGACATATGAGAATTTAAAAACAATGACAATGCAAAGACTTATTCTTACGGCACAGTTTGTGGGATGAAAACTAGACTTTTAAATAATTTCTTCTTTTGTTCTAAAAACACTTCTGTCACGCTCTTAAAAATATGAACTTTATATTCAAATTGGTTTCATGCATATTCTACATGCTTTCTGATTTTATGAAAGTTTTCCTAATCTAATCTAATCTAATCTAATCATTGTTCAATATTTTTCATATTTAAAATATCATACATAAATATCAAGATGATTCCATTTGACCTGATTATGAATATAAAAAGGTCAAAATGCAATATTAAAAAAAAATAAAGACATTGACAGTCATGAGGGTCTGTGCAGGTCATCTCTGTTATTTATTTATTTTTTTCTCACGTTTGACAACATAATGATTTCCGTCACTCCGTCTGATTCACTTGGCATTTTAAAAAATATTGATAAAATTTTTCCTTCATTTTTGGGACAGTTAACACTACTTAATCTCTGATTACAAATATCAAAATGACATTTAAAAACAAGTTCATCACGTACTTGTTACAATTCAGTCATTTTTATATACATTTCTAATGCATTTTTAGATCAGCTAATTTGATTTGCCTCTCATATTTAGTCTTATTTTGAATATCTTTATTTTTTATAACTCATATTTAATTACTTATTCATAAACGTATTGCTTTTTGTTCATTTTGCCGATTGACTTCTAATTGTAATGCAATGCTATTTTGTTTGAAAATACTACCTGCTTAATCCTTTTGCATTCTTATATTATTCTACACTGCTTTGACGATGTAACTATAGATTTAGTCGTGCCAAATAAAGCGAAGTGAACTGAAGTTGAGAGAGCGAGAGAGAGAGAATCTGCAGTGTTTTTGACCGGATAATGTCACATTAACATCACGATTTCGCTTAAGGTTAAAGCTTTCGGTGATTATTAACAGCTATGAGCATTCAGACATCATGGAACGTGACGCGTAAAAATAGACTCGCGAAACCGCCGTTACGCAGAGCTGAGAAACGCTCTTACCGTATTTGGCGTCCCAAAGAAAAACCATTTGGTATCTTTTGAACAGCCTCTCAGTCAGAGTCAGGATCCAGGGCTCCAGACGAGCAGCTGATCAGACGGATCAAGGGTATTAGCTCAAGCGCGACGTGGAAAGTTTGCGCGTCTTACTATCCGTTTGGTGAGGCGCAAACCGTGCCGTTCAGTCTGAACCGAACTCAAGACAGTTTATGGAGACGTTGTTGCTCTTTCAGCAGGTGCCATCAAGAGAGGACGATCTTGCGCTCGCGTATCCTTTCGAAAGTGTGCGTAAAGTTGCGCACCTTGCAAACCGCGCACCTGACGCCAGCGCTTTCGCTTTCAGTCTTTAACTGTATAAAAAGTACATGCACTCAGTTCTATAACACTGTAGCTGTAGCTGTTTAAAGAGAAAGTGTTCTTCCAAAATCCAGGACGCCGCTCGCAGTGGAAAGGATGATGCGTTGTGAATGAATCTCTCGGCAGCGAAGCGCTTTTACTGGCAATGGGCAGCGCAGGAACGCCAGCCAGGAGAGCTCATTTGCATGGGCCTTCCCCCCGAACGTTCTCATTGGTCAGCGATGACAGACCTCGACAGGCTCGACCAATCAGAAGACGGTCCGAACCGTGGATCTGAGCAGTCAATGGAATTCCTCGCGCGCTCGCGTCAAATGGTTCACTGTTGAATTGTCTGGATATAAGTTACTTATCAAATGGCAGCTAAAATGTAGGTTAAACTAAAGCAAAAACAGTTTGTTTAAATAGATTATCATCTAATATATTATTTTAAGAAATCATATAAACAATTGTTAAAAGTATAAGGAACACATATAATAGATGGTAAAAAAAAAAGAAGTTTGTTTTGTACCAGATGTTGTTTTTGTTTCATCAGAAGGAACATGATATCAGCAGAACACCAGGAAAACTCCAAAGCGCCATACTGTTCGCCAGGAAACGAATGTGATGCTAGTAAATCATGCAAACAAAAATGTCATTATAGGAGCATCAAAAAATTTGCTGACACAAATTCAGCCCAAAAAAAAAAAAAAAAAAAAAAACAGTTAAAAAAATGTAAATAACAAAAAGCAAGAAATATGAATTCCAGTCAAAATAGCTGGGGGGGGGGTCTAAGAGTTTTTTAAAAAAAAAATTTCTAAAAAGGATGAAAAAAGTCGCACACAAAAGAGAAATCATGTCTGATCGAAACAGACTTGGTAATGCTCTAATCTGTGTTTTGTAGCCAACAGGGGGCAGCAGACGATCTACATGCGCCATATGGAGTCTGTTATAGATCCTCATACTGAATGCATGAAGTAGAAATGGCAAGCAACACAGAAATGTTTCGTCATCTTTCAGTAAAATGAACAGAATGTGAATTCATCTGAAAGCGCATGCCTTCACAAAGAAAGCGCAGTACTGGAATCACTATAATAATTAATTATAAATAATAATAGCTTGACACCTTGTTTTAAGAAATGCACTTTTCCAGTTCAGAATAGTGCATGCTCAGAATAAACACATACATACAGAACAAGTCTGGCTAATTACAGGAACTGTAAATACTGCCGTCAATACGGCATCGTCAAGAACCACGTTCGAGGCCAAATCCACTTTAACATCTATCATTTTCAGTAGATAAATGCCTGTGCTTTATGAAAGAACACCTGATGGACTCTTCAAAAGTTCTAATAAAAAACTAAATTATTTAATCATGTTTGAGATTCATTTGGATGAGGACTGTAAAGCAGCAAATGTTGCAAATTCCCAAGATAAAGTTGCATTAGTCATATCAAACTGTGCAGAGTCACTCATAACAATAACGGAGAACTAAGAGATCTTGTTCTGCTCCGGTTACGGGGCCTGATTCATTTGTTAAAATGTAAAGAGCTGCATTATAAGATGCGTGTTATTCACGTCTCATCTTCCTTGTTGTCTTTACTGAACGTGAAACACAAAACTAAATGCAAATCCTGATATCAGTCATACTAATGAAGTCATCCTGTTTATTACACAAACTATACCTGAGTCAGTCTTTTTATTTCAGCTCTGAAATGTATCTTATTGTAAACAAATATGATGCATTTCAGTTAATCTGACAATAAAGTGGCTTCTTGTGTGTTTAAATGTCAAAACATCTACGCAGATTGATTTTTAGTGAAGAACAAGAAAGATGTGTTCATAAAAACATTAATTTTCAAATCTAATCGTGTTTGTAACTAAGTAATATAAAACAATTATAATCATTTTGGCTATATATTAAAATATAAAAATATATTATATAGCCTAAATACATCATATTAGATCAGTAATCAAATATATATATACACATACATACTGCAGTGCAGTGTCTGAATACAATTATTATAAATAATAATTTTGGCTCAGTATAGTCAGAAGATATAACGGTTGAATCTGAAAGCAAAGATCAATTCCAGGGAAAATAATATAACATGCATGCCAATCATAAATGATTTTCTAGCACGAAGGCACCGCAGGTCTTGGATGCGCAGGATCTCGGTCTTGTGTTTTACTGATTTGGAGTAATCTGATCTCTGAAAGTTGAGCAATCAATAGCGCTTGTAGTCGGCTATAAAATATATTGACAAGCGTTGCAGGGTTACAAATATCTGATCATGTTCGGACGAGCCATGAAGGAAGCGCACGCGGAATAAAATATAATTCTACACAAACAGTTTGATACACCTAGTTTCTTCCCTCAAATATTTCCTCTAAACTTAATTCAGTTATTATAATTAAAAACATTTCCACAAGGGAACTGGAAAATGTTTTAATACACGCTAAACATGATATTTCAGGTGTCAAATGATATATATCAGACTGTCATCAATAATGTCAGCATATTGTTACTAGTATTTGGTTAACACTAATAATAAGCGTCAACCAAATGAAAGAATATACAATTATCTTGAAAAAACAAAGGCCTGATGGTGCACACACACGCACACACACACACACACACACACGCACGCATGCACGCACGCACGCACACCCACACACTCACACTCACACACACACACACACACACACACACACAATGCAGGTACATGAAGTTGTTGTTCCCTATTTCAACAGTTCCTCTTTCACATTCTAAAGCGATAAAACAAGAGAAACTACAGAGCAGAAAAGAAAAAGAAAAACAAAACGATGGACGATGTGATTCATGGAGAACGAAAGTGTGACAAATACGACAGGGGACGACGAACCACAACAGTTTTGTCTTTACCAAACAGTGTGTTGCTGTTTCGGCCCTTCCTCGTGAAGTACATGGCCCACGAGATCGGTCCGGACGCTTTGAAGGGGCCCGGATTCATTTCGAGCCATTCTGATTCAATCCAGGATTCCAAATACGAATTCCCTCCTTCTCCTTGGTGCATTTATAGCCTGACGTCTCCCGCTGCGCTGCTCCATATTACACAAAACACAGATTCAGAGAAGAGGCGACAGAGGAAAAGTTGACACGCAGTCATGACTAATATATCCCATCAGTAAGCATGGCCTCAGGAGACACGGCCCCGGGGCACTTCTAACCTGCTCATTTCATTTAGCCACTGATTTCACCGTCTCTTGCTTTCTCCATCTCCATGCAGTGAAAATGGTGAAATTAGGCATGAGGGAGCAGGTGAAGTGTGCGAAGAAGAGCTCAGGAACGAATGAAGGTGAAAATGAAGGTGTCACTTTAAAAAAAAATGAAGGCAAAACACACAAAAAGGCAAAACAGATTAATTTTTGACTTTCATTACTGAACGTTGAGTTGTTGATGTTTCATTATAGGTTCTTCTGATCAGTTTTTTTGGTTTGTAGGTTCTTTAAACCATGTACATGTTTTTTTTTACAGAACTAGAGAACGCAAAAACGTTAAAAAAAATAATTGTATTCTGTAAAGATGCGTTAAATTGATCAAAAGTGACAATACAGACTATGATAATGTTACAAAAGATGTCAAATGAATGCTGTTCTTTTTAAGAATGCTGAAAAATAAAATTTTCCACAGTTTCCACACAAATATTGGGCAGCGCAACTGTTTTCAACATTGATAATAATCAGAAATGTTTCTTGAGCAGCAAATCAGCATATTAGAATGATTTCTGAAGATCATGTGACACCGAAGACTGGAGTAATGATGCTGAAAATACAGATGCGCATCCACTGGAGTAATGATGCTGAAAATACAGATGCACATCCCAGAAATAAATTACAGTTTAACAGATATTCACATAGAAAACAGATTTTTAAATTGTAATAATATTTCACAATTTTTACTGTATTTTTGATCAAATAAATGTAGCCTTGGTGAGCAAAAAATTCAGCTTTTAAGAACATAAAATAAAATAAAAATCTTTCCAACCCCAAACTTTTGAACGGTTGAATACAGAAATATATTCATAAAATAATTATATCTAATTAAACATTGATTATTTTATCCAATATCTGTGTTATGTATCTTATGCTTATTGGAGTTATCATACCATTAGCTTATGCTTATCTAATAAAAAAAGTATTCTCAAATCAGTCTCTATTTACATTTACTGTATGCATTTGCATTCATGCACAATGCCAAAGTCATGGGTTTTTGAGTCCCAGTGACTTCATGAACTGATAAAATGTATATTCTGAATGCATTACAAGTCTGTCAAATGGATAAATTGTGAATGTAAAACGCATTTGGCTTTTGCATATCATTGAAGGTGCACATTTATGCATTACCTGTGAACCAAACTCATGACTTGTGCATAAATGTAAATGTATGACCCATGACCTTGCTGCCGCTGTAGTGAATGGTGGATCTGCCAGTGACTGTAGCGGTTGTTGATTGGTGTCTATGTCTATTTTGGGCTCCATATGAAAGCTGGCATCAGAGATTTCAAACTCACACTGGCAAAGACTCAATTCAGACCGCAGATGGAGTTTCAAAGGGTTCGGAGGACTTCGGCTGTCTGGGTGGGGAGCAGGAAAAGGTTGGTAAGCCACAGTAAGTCGTGTCAGTCGTAACATCAGGACTGGGGTGTGTTTGACAGGCTGTCACTGCCGATACCACATAGATGTGGAAAGATTCAAGATTCAATAGACCACATGGCTGTCTAGCGATTAGCGAACTCTCGAAAAATACACATCTCTACAGTCTTAGCCTTTTCATTTTTACATGCACACTAACGGCACAGATTTAGATGTCGTTTTCCCCACTGCCCGCAGGCAGTTTGTCCCCTACGGGCCCCCAGAGACGGGCCACCCCGGGGCACGCAGGATCAATAATCGCTTCCTGGGGCCCACAATCAATGCTGCCAAAACTACTGAGCAAACCCATCAGGAGCTCAATACACTGCAATGCATGATTTACTGAAGGCAATTTCATTTAAGAGGAAAAAAACAAAAACAAACAAAAAGTTTGTTTGTACACTAAATTCACTGGAAAAAATTGTTGCAAATTATCTTCAAAATTTCTACATATACTGTATGCCATGTTAATAGGATATAATAACATAGATTTATATCATATTATTCAGTGAATAAAACGAGACGTTAAACTAAATCCTTATTATACACAAACATATCAAAGAGTATAAAGTGTTTGATAAAAAAACATTTAATAATTTGGTTTAATGTGTCATTTTCCCCAAAATTTGATATAATCATAATAATAATATAGATTTCATATTATTCATTTAGTGAATAAAATGTGGTATTAAACGAAATTATGATTATAC